GTAATTTTTATTAACAATATGGTCAATATAATTACATAATTAATTATAAGGATATGGTCTTAAAAATAAAACATTTCGTTTAGTATATTTCATGGCTAGTAACTATTGGAAAGCACTTGGATATGATCAAGCTGATTGCATTGATTTGTTGTCAGAATTTCGTAAATATATTCATTATGAAGAACCTTACGATGTAGAATTTGATCCCCAAAAAGAATCTGCACTTGCATGATGGTTAACACATAATATACAATACCACACAAGTCTAGAGGATTTGGCCGTTAAAATGTTTTTGATTGTGCCATCACAAGCTGCATGTGAATGGAATTTTTCTATCCTAAAATAGTTTTATGGAGATCGGAGAAATCGACTTACAATTAACCATATTGAGTCTATGGCCAAATTACGGATGTATTGGCTTTCAGAAATTAGAAAAGAACTTGAACATTACGGAAAAGATTTAACAGAGGAAGAATTACGGGCATGTGCTAATTTTACAACAATTCCAATTGATTTATCCTTACAAGATGATATATTCAATGATAACAAACCTTGTATTACAAATCAAAATATTTCCACTTCTGTTTTTACTCCGGTGAATTCTGATATATTTATGACTTTTGAGACAAAGCTTAATATCGAAGATATAGCAGACCTCACTTTGTCTTTTTTTAATTTTAATAACATTGAATCGTGTTATGAAAAATTTCAATTACAATCTAGACCAACATCAAGCCAAGGCCGTGGAAATATGGACTTTGAAGTATCGAATATTGTTGATGAGGTCTTAGGAAATGAAACTGACGATAATTATTTTTAAAAATACTATACAATGTAAATGCTAATTTAATTAAATATAGAAACAATACAGTTTATTAGTTTATTGTTTTATTGCAAGCATGCGTGTCAATGTAAATGCTAATTTAATTAAAAACAATACAGTTTGTTAGTTTGTTTTATCGCAAGCATACGTAAAGTTTTATCAGTAGTTTTATCAGTTTATATTTTGATACTTTTTACGGTTAAATCGAAAGTGTTAAAAATATAAACAGTATAAACCTATCACGTAGCTAGTTTATATTTTTATCAGGTTTTGTCAGGAGTATTGTCGGCATCACTAGTAAGAACCTATCTCAAATATTATTCATATTCATTTAATTTTATTATACGTAACATATCGTTATTACATTTTTTCATAAAATACTAGCAACATATCAGTAGATCTGCACAGCCTGATAAATAAGTTATAATTCCGGTCAAACCATCGATCATCTAACCAGATCGAGAGTAAAAAAATAATTTAAGGTTTAATAAAGGATCGACAAATCTGACTAATTATTTACTAGACTGCGCAAATCAACTGTCCTAGCGTTACTAACCCAAAAAATTTTGCAGACCAATCAAATGTCAAGATCAGGTGCTACGTAGAAGAAACTCAAAGCATAAAAAAATTCTGTACCAGATTTTGTAGATTGTGGTAACACATTTTTTTAAAGTTCATGAACTGTAGGGTTATTGTTTAGCATAAACTTAAAGACTGGATGATTATTTAGTAAAATCGCTCAAGGAAGACTTTTTATTAAAGCGCTAAAAGTAGTTCAACATGTGTTTGTTTGAGAAATATGCAATTTTGACAAAAAACGAACGTTTGTTTTGAACTTTCCTTATCGTGTTAAGTTACACCTAAATGCGCATATTATAACAACATGCGCATGAAACCCCATCTCTAGTTACGCCTGATTCTTGAAGTATGTTTTGTAGTTGGGAGATCTGCACCACAATGACCAACAAACTTGGCACAGTTTTTTCATGCAAACGCAAAAAAATTAACAAAAATTCGTCATAACTTAACATTTTGCCTATAAAACCACCTGAGCATTAACAAAAGTTTTCCTTGTGAAATTTTGATATTGGAAAAACTTTTCCTAGCCTAAATTAATAGCAAATATGCTAACTCTAATCTAGCAGCGAATATTTTTTTGGTGCAATTTTTTAGGTTGGTAACGCTAGGACAGTTGCGTAAATCCACTGATATATTAAAATTTCGGTTTGATTTCAGTGACCTATTTTTAAATAATTTATTATGATGTATTTCTTATGTGTCGTTTATTGATCTCTGTTGATTCGGAATTGACGCCTGTTATTTTTGAATTTTCACCGATCAATAAATGACCTACGTCAATTTTTGATATTTATGATGCAGCTTTTAATTAATTAAGATAAAAATGTAAATTACGTATCATACTTGTAATAACGTAAATAAAAATAAAGATTCGCTTTTTTAATTTTTATTACTTTTTTTCTTTAATGAAAATAGAAAGGCGAACCTTTATTTTCTCTTTTGAACGAATACTAAAAACGTATATTAGTCAAAGAAAAAACAACTGATGTTTAATGGATACAAATCGTTCAATGAATATTTAGAGTTATTAAAAGCCCCTAGTGCTTCATATAACCAAAACCTATGTATTTAATAAAACCCGTGATTGTTGCCATTGTAAAACAACTAACTGTGGCACTAAATCCTGCTCTTGCGGGAGAAACAACATATTATGTTCAAGACAATGTGATTGTATCTTGCGCGGTCAATGCAAAATTGCTAGATAATTATTTTTTCTCTCGACAAATAGAATTACCTTCAGTTTTTTTTTATTTTATTTTATTTTTTAAAAAAAATAATAGTTACGATTAGGTTGGTTTTTTTTTTTTTAACTCTTAGATTGGAGAAATTGCATTTTTACAGTAGCATTTAGATCTTAACATGAATATATAAGTATGCATTTTTATTTATTTTATTATAACAAAATTTTTAATGAGTACTGCGTGAATATTCATTAATCGGTAAAATTCATACCGATTCCAAAGTGACATACGTTATTTTTGGATTCGTAAATGACACATGTCGATTCCAAATCGACAGGGATCAATAAACGACACATAACATATTCAGAATGTATCGGGCCAAACCCTATAGGATAACCTTTAATCGGTCAGTAACATGAATAAGTTGGTGTTATTATTATGGTTAGACCGTGATCATGAGTATATACAGATCTCTGAAAATAGAACAATATATACTATTCACCTTTTATCTCGTCCTTTATGTGATTTCTGCATAATATGCAAATGGTTCCTGATAATTCAATTCTCAGCGGTAAGTTTCAACTTCTATTAAATACTTTACTTCTATAAAATAGATTACAGCATATCAACAATGATATATATATATGTGGCAATATTAATGTGGTAGATTTTAATTTGAAAACTATCATATTAGGGCTATACAAAATTAATTAATCAATTTCATAACCAGATTGATCAAAATTTGAAAATTTAAAAAACGATTCGATTAACCAAGCCTGTTTTAAATTTTCTCCTCAAAGTTGTGCTAATCATAACCTTATATTTACTAAATAGCACCATTTAACAAGCATTCAAATTTAGTACTTTAAAGTACTCAAAATTATAATTACTTATTAAGGATTAAGTTTCCATTTATTGAACACTTAATTTTTAAATATTTTATAAATATTTCAAATTAATATTTATAATATCAACTCAATATACCTAACTTATATTTAATAAATATTTGTTAAGTACTTCATAAGTACTTTGACAAACTTTGAGCTGTTTCATATTATGAAAACCAAATATTTGATTTGGTGCTGTCTAATTTGGTAGTTATATATTTTTTACAAATTTATTTTAATTGGCTTTATCGGATAATAAATAATATTTCAAGTATAATTACAAATACTTTAGATTGTTAGTATAAATTGTTATCAACAATGAGTTTTTAAGCACCAATTTGGTCTCTGGACGATTAATAGACTGTGATGAGTCAATTTTATGATAATTATAGATTAGCCAAGACGAAAAAGGCTATATAAAATATAATCCTAATAAATAATAAGAGTTAAAGAGGAAATCTTTGTTTTTTTCTAAAACTCTGCTGATGCATAAATGCTACTGCCATTTGTATATATAAAGATTATGAAATAGATGCTGAAAAGACTATAACGTGCAGCCGATGATGAAAATAAGGCATTTGAATGTATTGGAAATTTACTTGAAGTAGTAATTCTAATGAACAATATTCTGCACAGATACAGTTAAAGAGAACAAATGCCATTTAAGATTTGCTGAAGTAGGGTTTATTAGGTTAAAAAACAAATAGATCAGCTTAGAATCGATGAGTTAGAGAAATATAATTAGACAAGTTGATAGTTGGATGAGTTAAGGTGATGAATTAGGCGAGTTAATGGTTAAATGTGTTGAAAATAATATATTAGGCAGTCATATTAGCTAGAAGAAAAAATATATAAAAACGAGAAATTTGAAGTAAACACCGAATCCAGATTTAAGTTTTATACGAACCAGACTCGCTCTGTTGATTCAGGTTTTCGATTCGGATCTGAGGAACATTTATTAATATAGAAAATAATTTTCATTACTGTCATTTGACAATATGCACAGAACCTCAAAAATATTAGTAATAATGTAAGTGAAAGTTAGGTCAAGCAAAAAGTATAATTTTATTTTCAATAGGAAAACATTACGAAAAAAAATATAAAAGTTGGAAACATTTAAGGTTCAGTAGAAACACCTTTGGATCCAAATTTACAAACCCAATTTCTTTATCGTTATTAACGTATGTACCTTTGTATCCTTATTTATAACCAAAAGCCATATCCACTATTAATCCTGTTCTCAGCCGGTATGATGTATCGAATCGAACTGGGCTGTAAATACAGATTATGGATCGGGGACCGGACCGGGCCGATCATTTCTGACCAATTAAACCCAAAGAAAATCACATGATAACAATTTGTCATTTTATATTTCCAAATAAGAAACACAAAGAAACACAAAAAAAAAACAAAAAATCCAGAAAATCTGGACACTGTATTACTAAGCCCCTGTCTTCGGTGTACCGATACACAAGAATGCCGTATTAATATGCTTCTAAATACCAATTAGCCCAGCATTTACAGACGCAACTAAAGAATACACATTCATTAAAAATTTTAAAATTCCAATCCGAAAAAAATGCTAACCACTAAACAAAGAACATTTATTCGAATAATATTTCTCATAGCATTGATATTATTGTTACTTACGGCTATTCCCCGAAGCTCATTTAAAGCTAGTGAATATTATCAACATAATGGGCATAATCAATTAACAACTTTGGACGATTCTTTAAGTTCCACCCTTGGCTTTGATCATATTTATCTCATTAACCTTGCTAAGAGACCGGATAGACTTGAAAAAATGAAAAGCATGGTAAATGCGCTTAATTTAGATGTTGAGTATTTTACTGCCATTTCAACGGATGATCACAAAACTCTCGATAGATTTAATAATGCGACTTATATGAATGCAACGCATAAAGCTTGTTTCGTAAGCCATTATTTGATCTATCTGTCAATCGCCTACAATCGTTACGAAAGTGCATTGATATTGGAAGATGATGTGGATATTGAACTCAACATTACATCAATAATGACATATATTCACAGTGTATTACCATCGGATTGGGATCTTTTATATATCGGACATTGTATGGGCTGGGAAGGCGCTTTCGATCCTCCTTTGGAAGAAACATCAGAAACTTTTAAACTATATCCATCTAAAAAACCATATTGTACACATGGTTATGCAATTTCAGCCGCTGGTGCACTCAAGCTTATAAAAGAACTTGCCACATTATATGTACCACTTGATCTCCATTTGATCTCAAAGATTGATGAAGGTGTCTTCAAAGCATATAGTGTTAATCCGGCAGCTATTATACAAACCAACGATAATCCCTCTGATGTATCTCCTGATGCCGAATTCTTGGAATATAAGACTCTGATAAATTCCACCCTACAATCACTTGGACTTAAATAAATTCCCCTCTACATTCATCTATATTCATTCATTATTATTTTCTCTCGATGTAAGACTTTCATTATAAGCTTTAAATCTTAAATTATTTTATTACATTTCCGAACTAAATTCGACTACATTTTTCCACTGTACTTTTGACAGTGATATCTTACAATTTAAAAAATATTTTTGTTTAATTCGTAAATATCTTTGAAGTGCTAGTGTCCTTGTGAATATTAAAGAGTTGATAATCTGCAAATAACTCAGTATAATTATAGATTCGTAAATTAAATATTAAAATTGTTTTTTTTTTACACTTAGACTAAAATTATATGTGTTTTATAATATAAATATATTATTACATATCATTTTTCAATTTACGTAAATCAGTAATTAGCATGTGCCATTCGTAGATTAGCAAACAACGTACATCATTTTGCATTCGATGCGATGTAGATATAAAAAAATTATAGTGCAATTAGCTTATGGGCGGTTTTAAGAGCTTTGATCAATAAAGCACTGGAAATAAATTTTACCTTGCAGAAAATGTTTTACAAATTATATTCGAACTTTATAAATTTTATTGGTTTAATTAGTAAGAAACATGGATTAATTGATTTGTGACAATAAACCCATTTTATTTATAAAAATAATACTTCATAGGGTTAGAGCGAGGTTAGGACCAAAATTTTGCGAATCTACTAATTTCCCCCACCACTTCTGGTTGGTTCTACTAATTATTCAAATATCGGAATATATTCTCGATAGTGAAGTGGTGGGGGAATTAGGGCACCCAAATTTTGCAACGAATTTTTTTAGAACATAAAAGATAGTTTCTTAGTCAAATTTTTGGTTGATTACCGATTTTTTAAAGATGATGATTTTGTTTTGATTTGGTTTATATCTGATCTTGGAATTTGATTGGCTTTATGTGATATTGTTACGATTGGTATCCTATATACTGATTAACTTGGAACTTTGTTTTATTGCTAGTATGTAGGTACTTTTAAAGATTCCTTTTATGTCTCATTATCTGTTGCATTACAATTTTCAAATTGGTTGTTTTTATTAGAAGTTTTGATTAGTCTGTTATTGTTTCACTATGCAGAGTGTTTTTAAGCCGATATCTCAAGTCAGTTTTTTGCTATTATTATTAGATTGATAATTCAAATAACTTCATTATTTATACTACTAACCTATATCTTAAGTTGAATTTTTTGATATTACTGTTAGTTAAATTCTTTTATGTTTTGGCGTTGTTTTTAACAGATTATGTTCCAAATCTACTTTTTTTATAATATTTGTTAGGAACTTGTTTTAGGTTAAGGTTTTAATTATTTTTAAATTAGTATAATTGGTTATTGCGTTGGTCTTTAGTTTTTTTTTTGCAATTAGTAGACTTTCAATTTTAGTTTAGTTAATATGGTTATATTATAAAATTTTATTTAAATTTATTTCAAACATTTGTTATTATATTTATTTAGCTAGTAATTATATTAATTTACCAATTTTTTTATAATTATTTGACCTTTTAATTTTAATCAATAAATAGTTATCTTTAGATCTTTTTAGTTTTTAAACTATCAAAATATTTTTAATTTTAAGATATTTTAATCTTGATTAATATAATATTAATATTAATCATCTAATTTAATTACAAAACACAAATGTTTTCAAAGAGACTACACTTACTCATGCCTTTGTGAACTTCCTGATCAATTACATTCTTACATAAATACATGCTCTTCTATCAATCAAGCAATTTGCAAAATCAATATTTGTTTCATTCTATGGATCAAATATAACATGTTATCAAATTATATACTAAATATTCAAATTTAGATAAGCTTAGACCACTATAGTAGGTTTAGGTTACAGATAAACTAGTTTGAGCTTTTATTCTTGTATGTAATTTTCAATTTATTTGTTTTGTACAAATAGTAGTGGCTATATAGTTAGCAGTTTAATGGTTAGCCCTAACTGCAAGTATTGATCTTGGCCATAGCATATATATATATATACTATTTTAAATTATTAATAAAGATATAAGCAAGGCCTCATCTTAATACCAAAAAAAAAATAAATAAATAAAAAAGAATTAAATATTAAATAAATCAGTCCAGATATAGTCAATGCAGCTATAGCTAGTATTATTTAACTATATAAAATGCTTGTTATTAATATATACACTAAGATTAAACATATTGAATTAGTATAAATAATTAATAAGCTTGAATTTAGATAATAAGCTGCAAATATTATTATGTGTATTAAAGTTTTCAAGTATTATTAGATAAAGATTATATGTAAAGCTTGTTGGATCTATGTAATAACAGTATTTTATATATTGTTATATTTTTGCATATTAGTAGAAGAAATATAAACAGCTATGATTCGAAGTTTAATTTTATTTTTGTAAAAGAGATCTAAAGCAATTATTCCACTAGAGTATATTTGGCAATTGTGTACATAAGGTTGTAAATATTTGTGAATCATAATAGCAATACCTTCTGCTGAGCTTTCTGAGTTGGCCTAGAAGTAAGTAAATAGATTGTTATTGTAAAATTAAAGATTAGTACTGCTAGCAATTTTAGTTTAGTAATACAAAAAATATAAATATTATTGTAAAGATAATAATTCTGCCAAGCTTCTCTTTTAGTTACTGTATTATAACTTCTAAAATTGTATATACAAATGCTTAAATAGAGGTTACATAAAAATTATATCAATATATATACTTATAGTATAGTATAACTATTAAGAAATAAGTCAGATAGGATGTAAGTAAAATTAGAGAGATTTGATTTAAGAAAAAGGTTATAAAAGATAGAATAAAGATAAGAATAAATAACAGTATAATTGGATAAGAAAGAATTATTTAAAAAATATATATAGCTTTCATGATAGGTGTTGCTAACAAAAAAAGTAATGCTAAAGACAGTATTATTGTTGTTATATTTGTTAATATATTGTATAAAAAATTGAATAGTTTGATCATGAGAAAGAAGTGATAGATTATAATAAAAAAGAAATTTGTTAAAACATGTATGAAGATTATAGAGACTTAAAAATATTGAGAATGATCTATTGAAATTGCCTTCTATAGAGTTAATTACCATATGCTTAACTCTCACAGCTATGCAAAATATCATAGTTTGCTCTGTATGTTGAGTCTAGTCATTAAGTTTTAGTTCAATTGGCTAATTATTATTATTATTTTTATTATTATTAAAATTATAGTCGTAAATAATCATTTAATGGTTAGTTGACTTAAAATTTTAAGTCAACTAATTAATCTTGGTTTATTTTATTATTTATTCATATGTCATTTCTATACTTGAACTATTAAGGCTCTTTAAACATTAGATATAGCATTTATTTCTGCAAAGTCTTTGTTAATAAATGTGAAGTTTAAACAAACATTATATAATTTTATAGTTTTCAGAAAACTTTTTAATATTTGGCTATACTTTTCTGTACTGATATCAGTCATTTTTGTAGTATCTATTATAAAATAGACTATAGGAAATTTGACTTCTTCAACATTAACAATAATGTTATAAAGTTTATATTTTTTATGTACAGTCTTATAGATGGCATTTATATAAACTTCAGTAATCTTAATATTAAGATTATTAATCTTTTTTAGCAATAAGGTCACAAAAACAATAGATATAGACACTGCATTCTGTGTTTCTAAAATTTATAAAAATCTAAACTTCTATACTCTTTAAGCAGTCTGCAGCTAGATTTGAATAAATCATTGACTCCTTATTCTGAGCCTTTTTTAATTAATAATATAAATACCTAAACTTTTTGATTATCTTACCGAATTTTTTAAAAATATCTGCTTCTTAATATCTGTAATAAAATGTTATTTAATTAGATAAAAATAAAAGCTAAAAAAATACCAACAAACTAATCTTTAATTTTTTTTATTAAGTGTTTTTAACATTAATCATAATAATAATTTATAACAAATTATACTTACATTTATAAATAATTATCTCTTCTTTTAATTTTAGTAATAACAAGATCTGTAATTTCTTTTTTTATTATCTTTTGAGTATTTTTATTATCTTTTTTTTTTAAATATTAAGGTGAGTACTTGCAAATTAGGATTTTATTAGTAGTATATTTGGCTAATGGTTGCATTACAACTACAAGAGGCAATCATAAAAAGAGTATACAACTAGCCACTCATACAACTTTAGTCAATGTTTAATTTAAGTAGTTCATCTGAAGGTTCTATACTAGCTGCTATATTTGGAACCTGCTTGTAGGTTCTCTATTTAACCACTCTAGTTTCTGTATTCACTCATTTACCTCTGCCTACCAATAATCCAAACTGATGCTAGTGAAAATATGCCATGATCACTAAGTCTTTAAAGCAGTTTTTTGGAATCTTTGACCTTGTACTGAACCTTTCAAAATCTTCTGTATCCAATTCTTATAGCTGACCTAGTATTGCTATGACCAAAGCTAATACTGGCTATCAGAGCATAATATTAAACTGCTATGCTTTTGTAAAATTCACTTTAACCCCAGTACTGACTTTAAAACATATTCTTACTACTTTGGTATTCAATTCAAGTTTTACCAAACTGCCATTTCAGATAGCCCAGAAAGGTAAGTTAAAACTATACACCTCTGGTTTACATGTTTGTCAGTATAACTATCAGGTTAGAAGAGTATTAGTTAATGCAGTGTCTTATTAGGTCAGAATAGTTAACTTAAGGAGTTTTTAAAAGAGTGAAAATGGTTTAATTAGGGTAGGAACAATTAAAGATAAATGGATTTAGGTTTATAAGATGCAAATGTAGAGAGATATACAAAAATGGGTGAAATTCTTAAATATGAGTTTAAGAGATGCAGATCGAATTATAGAAGGAATTAACTAATAGTTTAAGAGTAATTGAACAGATATATAAGATTGTGAAGATGTATTTACACTAAGTAGTGTAAATACATAACAATATAACAATAAGAACAGGTCTATAAAGATGTATTTATGATAATGATCAATAAACAAAGTAAAGAATTAATTTTTATAAATGTACTTGTTTTTTCTTTATTTAGAACTATGTCTGTTCTTTTTCTCAAAAGTAAAAATACAGTCATTAAATACATAATTCTATTTATACAAATTTACAATCTGATGCTATTACTAAAAACTAATAAAAATACTCTTTTTTTATTCTGATGTTATTATGTAACCTCTTATTCTTACAAGTTTCTATTGATTATAAGTAACTTATTGTGAAATCAGCAGATTCTTTATAATACTTGAACACCTTCTGCTGATTTATATGATATCCAACTGTTTCTTAAGATACAATTGTTTAGGAATCAAAGAGTACTTCTCTCTAAGGCTTTATTTTATAGAGAAATCTAATACATAATAATAATTAAAATGCCTAATGGCTGTTCCACAATCAGTCAACACTTTCTAATGTTGTATGGAATATAAATACAGCAACTGAAAGTTAAAAAAAAAGGAACAGAACTTGCTCCTAATATCACAGTTATAAGGTTAGCTGAGATCTTGAATTACCTCGATTGTAGATTATACAAAACACACAAATGTTAGTTACAACAATAACTATCAACAATATATATTAGAAAATGAATATTTAAAAAGAAATAACAAAAAAAAATAACTATATAAAAAAAAGAAATAAATATAAAATAGAATAAAAAATAAATATAAAAAAGAAAAATATATACTAATACAGATATACTATGATAAAAAAAAGTTAGATAATAGAAGTTACAGATTTTCCTTCTGAATTTCTGAGCTCCTGTGAGGATAGGTGCAAGTTGAAGTCATTGTTAGATAATTTATAATAGAGTTTGAGACAGTTTCCATATACTTTTTGTTTCAAAACCTTGTTATCAAGGGTCTGAAGTTTGTAGGTACCTTTCTTAAGTATATTATAAATATAGAAATGGTTCTCTAATTTCTTCTCTGATTTTCTTTTATGTGTATTTTTTAATAAAGATCAGTATCTAAGAACTTTGTTACCAATAGCATAACTTCCAATAGGAAATTTACAATCATAATAATCCTTATGCTTCTGTTACACTATATTAGTTCTTTTTTGAGCTTAAATTTGGGCTTAAGGCAAATCTCCTAGTAGTACTTCCATTTAGTAAAAGATATTATTTTGTAATTCCTGCTCATTAGATAGGAGAATTTTGAAGGTTAATTTATCAACTTTGGTAGATAACACTGCATCTTTTTTATACAAGAGGAAAAATGATTTATAATAAGTAGTGAAGTGTTTAATAGTATGATATATGAACAAAGCTGAAGATATATATTGATCTCAGTTATCTGAAAACTAAATAAACCATTTTGCTAGAACTTCACAAAGGGTTTAATTGAAATACTTTACTAAGCCAATTGTCGGAAAATGATACCTAGAAGAGTATTAGTGATGGATAAAAAGCTGCATACAGATAGAACCTATAAGTTGATTCTCAAAATGTTTTTCTTGGTCTGATAGAAGTTTGTATAAACTGCTATATTAGCAGATAAGGTCTTCAATGACAAATGATGTGATAATAAAGCAGTAATGTTAGGCAAGGCATAAGCTTCTGGCCATCTTGTTAAATATTTAGTAACTATATAGTTACTAAAATCCCATTTTATTTATGTCATGCTAATTATAACTATAACAATATATTGATTGCTAGTTCTGGTAGAGACTAATAGGCCTATAATATCGATCCTAACTCTATTAAAGGATTGACCTATTTTAATTGGATGCAAAGGTTTATAAGTTCTAGGTTTTTCTTTATGCTAACAAGTGTCATATACATAAATATATTGTTTAACATCTTCATCTATTTGAGCCCAAAAGTAATGAACAAATATCCTATAAAGAGTAGATACAACATTGAAATGTTCTGATAGTAAATCTAAATGCATACTAAAAGTACAGAGGAGACTTTATGAGGCTGCAGGACTCTTAGAAGTCTATAAGAAGGTAAATAATATTTCTTATATAGTATATTACTAATAATGATAAAATAGTAAGTTTGTTGTTTTAGTTGTCTTTATTGCTAGTAGTTAAGGTATGTTCATGTTTAGGATCAGTAATGTATTTGGTAAAAGTTTGATATTGTGTAGGTTTTATAGTTAATAAAAAATATTTAAAAATATCAAAGTTTAAAAAAATATAATATATCAGTATTAGTAGTAAGAAAAGAAGAATAATCAAAAAACTTTTAGTTTGTCAAAATTGGAAAATTCAAAAGAATAAAAGTCAGGAGTAAAAGAGGTTTCTAAAGTACTCAAGAAAGAATATTCAAACTTATAATGTCCTTTTCAGAGACAGTTTTGGCAAACATTATTGTTCTGAAAAAGAGGTTCAATATTGGTAATATGAGAATGACTATTAGCATTAGAAAGTAGCTATCAGAATAATGGTTTACTAAAAAGTTGTATTCTTGCAGGGCCAAGATCCAATGAATGCGATGACCTTTAGGTAACTAGTGTTTTAGCAAGAACTTTAAAGCTAAGTGGTCTGTAATTACAGTAAAACAGGATCTATGAAGATATTGCTAAAAATAAAAGATCAAACATATGATAGTGAGGCACTCATGCTCAGTAATAGAATAGTTTTTTTCAGCTGCTGTTATGGTTTAACTAGTGTAATAAATTACCTTTTCTCTTTCTAAAGAATCTCTTTGAGAAAGTATAACTTCTAAGGCATTTCTAAGGCATTAGTAAAGAGGAGAAATTCTCTAAAAAAATCAGAATAGGCTAAAATAAAAGCATTATAAGTTTTTTTTTTAGGATGTTAAAGGCATTCTTCTGAGCTTTTATTCATAAATATTTAGCATTTTTTTTTAATAACAAGTTAAGAAGGTGGCTATTTTTAAAAAGTCTTTAATGAATCAGCAATAATAGGATGCTAAACTAAGGAATTCACATAGTTGATAGAGATTAGTAGGGATAGCAATGTCCTTGATAGCTTTTATTTTTCAAGAGTCAGTAGCAATTCTTTTAATATTAATGATATAATTGAGAAACCTAAGCTTTCACTTGATGAAATAGCACTTTTAAGGTTTAATTTTAACCTAACTTTTTAAAAATTATTAAATACTTCTGTAAGGTGGTCAAGGTGTTTAGAAAAAAAAAAAATGTTAAAGTTGTCTAAATAAATAACTACAAATTGTCCAATAATGTCCTAAAAAATTCAATCTATAAGCTATTAAAATATTGCCAAAGCATTTGTGAGACCAAAAGGCATTATATTAAACTCAAAAGTTCTGAACTAAGAAATAAAAGTGATCTTTTTTTTGGCTTTGGAAAACATTTCAATCTACCAGTAACTGCAGACAAGGTTAAGTGATGTGTACCAGGAGGAATAATGTAAGTTGTTTAACAAATTTTCAATTTGGAAAAGAGAATAACTATTTTTTTTAGTAATAGTGTTTAGCTGTCATAGTCAATGCAAAAATGGGTCTTGTTTTTTTGCTTGATAAGTACAATAGGTGAAGCCCAAGAACTTTGTAAAGATTGAATGATGCCATCATTTAGCATCTGTTTAATCTCTTTTTGAAGAAATTTACATTCTTTGAAAGAGGTTTGGTAGTAGGTGTTTAATGAGAGAGGCATTGTCTTAGAAGGTTCATGCAAACAGATCACTGTAGCCCACAAAGAGCTTTGTAATCCTATTTTGTTTGTCATTTTCAAGTTCTTATACATCCAAGTTATAAAAAGGGTCTTCTGCTTTCTTAAAGAAAAATTTGCAACCTATTGCATCATTCTCATCAGAGTCAACAAAGAACCTTATCTTCTTGTACATAGTTATAACTAGTTGACCAATCTTTTTAGGCTTCACTGGGCCTATATCCATCAGGCTGCTTGTCATATTGAAATACCACTAACTCATTATCAGAATCAGTGAATATTAGTAAACATCATTTTTGTACTGATATCTATAATTTCTTCTCTTATCTTTTAAAAATTCAAAATTTCTATCTTTTAGTTCTTTTTTTTTGTATTTACTTTTGGTTTCATTTTTTGTCTCAGACTCATTGAATTCTTCTTTATTAGTTGGTCTGAGTTTGGTAACCTTAGAAAGAAGCATCTTGAGTATGAATATGTTGAAGTTTTCAAAATTTAATAGAAATAATGAATTTTTTGTTCTTCTAATAAAAGGACATTTTCAAGCTGATGTAGTCAATTTTGGCATTGACTTGAGAGATCCAGTCATTAATTACAATGGCTTGGTATGATAAAGCATTTATTACTATAATGTTTATAAAGAACAATACACCTCTAACAGTAAATGAAAAGTCAGAGATTTCACTAATGGCCTTCTTACTTTGACTATGTACATTAACCATGTTGATAGTGAACAGATGTTCCATCTTAATATCCAATTCATTTAGCAAATAGGAAGACACTACATTTCTAAATGAGCTGCTATCTACAATAAAAAGGATTACCTTGCTGTATATAGTAATATTACTATATAAGGCAGTAGACTTGAGAGTGGGTTAAAGGCTAACATATGCTCAGGTTCTCTTTGCAATAGCTTTCTTTTTGTGAAGGCTCTTAAATAGCTCAGTTTGAATAAAAGAGACCATATACAACAGCTGTTCAAATGTAATATTGGCAGATTTATCACATATGTTGACAATAATAAAGTATAAAAATACTAAAGCTGAAATTTGAAGAGAGTTATTTTCAACCTTCTTTCTTTTTACAGTAACAGTTTTTACATTTTTAACAAGCAAAGGCTCAAGAGAGACCTTTGAAACAGGCACAGAGTTTTTTAGTTCTTCTTCTTGTTCTTTAAGAGTTGTTTCTTTAACATGATATCATTTATTTTAGATAGATTGCAAGGGTCTTTTGAACTCTTTGACTAGGAGAAACAAAAGATCATCCATCTTAATATGAAGATTTAAAACTGTTTGAATCTCATCTTCTCTAGCTTGATTCAAGTTCTTAGGGTTGTTGTTAAGTGAAAAGTTGTTCTGAACAGCATTGTTCTAATTAATAGAAATGGCATTACTTCCTGTATCTACAGTACTTTAAGAATTTTGTAGGAAAGAGTTGGAATATGTCTTTGCATAATAATCCACTTGACCACAATGCTTGCAAAAAATCTTTGGGTGTTATTCCAATCATTTGGTCCATGTTTAGGCTTTCTTGTGTCTTAAAATTTTGTAAACATGATGTTGATGGCCTCTGTTAGCTTGACATGAACCTCTTTGGTTTTGGGTGTTTAAGAGTTAAGTAGGATGTTAAGAGGAAGGTTTGTGGATGATACATTTGCAGAAGAGTAAGCAGTTGCCATTTAATAAATATTTGTATATAGGAAGGCATATGGGGAAAATAAATAGGAATTATGACAAAGAGGGTTTTGCTAGAAAGAGTTCTCAAATACTTTAGCTCTTTCATAAGCAGCAACTAGAAAGTCAAGTATAAAAGAAGATACTGAAATGGCAAGCTCAGATTGAAGGTTATTAATAAACATCTGGGCCTTTCCTGTACCAAGGTAATAATGACCACCTGACTTAACTCATCATAACAGTTCTTTAATAGACATATAATATGAATTAACATCCTCAGTAGAACCCTGTTTTCATTAAGTTAGCTAAGCAAACAACTTACTCTTAAGAGCAGGAGTTCTAAACTAAGTTATGAAGTAGAAATAAAAACTTTGTTCTCTATTATTAGAGTTATTTTACTGATTAATTGCTGATCAATAGGTCTGGGTAGTAACCTACCAAGTGGCTGCAGTACCTTTTAAACAAGAAATAACTACTGGGATTTTATATTATTTTTGTATTTAATTAGTTTCAAATGCTTTTTTTTATATATTTCAACTAGGAAATTGGGTCTTGTTTTCCATCAGCAAAGTCAGAATATGCAACAAAACTAAGTTCTTAGTTTTGGGCAGAAATATGGATTTGAAGAGGTAGAATATGCTGCATCTGCAAGACAAGATTTCTAATTTGTCAAGTGAGGAAGGTTACAAGTTCATTTTGCATATCAACATTATTATTTTGATCACCAAATGATTATCTTGTTAGATGGGAACAGGCTGATCATTACTATTGGGATTGATAAGGAGTAGCAAATCTATTGGTGCATTATTTTGTGGCATATTTCTGTTAAGAAATCTTTTCTCTAAAGTTTCACTATTATAACTGTCCACTAGAGGGTCTAGAGCAAATCAATCAGACTTTTGATAAGCAATTAAAAATTTGGTTACTAAAATGAATAATCATTTAGGCATTTACTGTAACAGAAGCTGAAAATAAAATAGTTTAATAATTAGTCAAGGATGCAATTAATTTCAAACTTGTTAAACTTCTCAAAACATTATATGGCATGTTGAAAATATGCAAAAGCTGATTGAAAAGTACTGAACCAAGCCCAGAAATAAGAAATCAAGTAGACAGATTTTTAGATGAGTAACAAATAATGCAAAAGTCATTATGGTAATATTTAAGAAGATAGTTGATTGCTTGAAAAGTTGTTTCAAACAAATAATAATAATTATTATGTTCTGTTATATTTATAAAATGCATTAGTTAATGCAGTATCTTATTAGATTAGAATAGTTAACTTGAGAGGTTTTTAAAAGGATGAAAATGGTTTAATTAAAGTAAAAACAATTAAGGATAGATGGATTTAGGTCTATATGATGCAAATGTACAAAGATGATACAAAAATAGATGAAATTCTTAAATATGAATTTAAGAGATGCAGGTCAAATTATAGGAGTAATTAACTAATAGTTTAAGAATAATTTGAACAGATGTATAAGATTATGAAGATGTATTCATGATGGGTAGTGTAAATACACAACAATGTAACAATAGGAACAAATCTGTAAAGATGTATTTATGATAATGATCAATAAACAAAAGTGAAAAATCAATTTTTATAAATGTACTTGTTTTTTTTTATTTATAACTACATCTGTCCTCTTTTCTCAAAAAAGAAAATATGGCCTTTAAATACATAATTCTGTCTATACAAATTTACAATCTAATGCTATTACTAAATACTAATAAAAATACTCTTTTCTTATTTTAGTATTATTGTATAGAACTTTTGTATTTACAAGTTCTCATTAATTATAACTGTAACTTATCATTGAATCAGCAAATTCTTTATAATACTTGAATGTCTTCTGCTGATTTATATGAAATCTGCCTGTTTCTTGAGATACAATTGTTTAGGAATCAAAGAGTAACTTCTTTCTAAGGCTTTATTTTATAGTGAAATCTGATACATGATGATAATTAAAATAGCTGATAGTTATTCTACAATTAGTTAATACTTTCTAATGCTATATGAAATATATAGTGGCCAGAGGTTAAAAAAAAGAAACAGATCTTGTATTACACCAAAACAAACTTCTAATATTGCAGTTATAAGATCAGATGAGATCTAAGATTACCTTGATTGTAAATTATACAAAACATACAAACAGTAGTTACAATAATGACTATTAACAATATACATTAGAAAATGAATGTTTAAAGAAGAATGACAAAAAAAATAACTATATAAAAAAAAAGAAATAAATATAAAATAAAATAAAAAATAAATATATAAAAGAAAAATATATAGTGACACAGATATACTATAATAAAAAAAAGTCAGATGATGAAAGTCATACCAGCATGTATTCATTTTCTCCAAAACCCAGAAATTTTAGTGACCTAGTTGGTTCATCTGTTCCTCCTTAAAGACTGACACATTTGCTCAGTTTCACAAGTTCTAGCTCTGTTTTATAAGTTTATTCTTTATAGTAGCACTGTTGAAAGTTCAGATTACCTCTCTACTTGGGTCTTCCAAGTAGGCTTCTGTCTTCCTACTTGGTTCCTGTGATTTACATAGCCTAAGAACTTATCTTGGGTTTACACTATCTGAAACTAATTTGTGTTCCTTTGTACAATATTGTATGAATGTCTAAACCTTTTAGTCATACTGATATAACACAGAATACAAATATTTTATTTTAACCAATTATAGAAGACAGTTAACTATAATACAGAAAGAATTGCAAATTTTTGCTATTACTGAAATTTGAACTCTAGACCTTCCACTTGGGAGTTGACAACCTATTCACTTTACTAGGTTACTATGCCTCTGTATTTTATTTATATTTACTAATAAATGCATTTAATAAACTATGTTAACTATTCTATCAATGGTTGAACTTGCTATTAACTCTTGAATTTCACTTGTAACAAAGTCTTTTACTTTATAATAATTGATTTTAGTATATATAAAATCAACTGAATTTATCTTTTGACTAGTGCTTCAGGTTGATCAATAGATTTAGCATTATTAATTGAATTCATAATTTTTTTTTCTGTTTATATTTATTACATCTCTTTTTAGATTTATAACATGTTTTATAATAAATATTATTTTAAACAAATTGACTATCTAACTAAGCAATATTATAATTGCTACAATTTATTTAGATATATATAAGCTTACAAATTAGTATAGAAGAGATTTTAAGTATTAAAAGTATTAAATTTTAATTTTAACTTTTAATTTTTGAATGAATTTGTAATAAAACCAACTTATATTTATATAAGTGAAATAAGTAACTTAATATATTGCACAAATTAATTAATAATAAATAGAAAATATATATTTATTTTATAATTTCAAATAGTCTATATATAAAAAAATTCTACAGAGCATATAAATGCAAAAAAATATAAGTTTACAGAATTGATACTAAAATAAATGATACTTATAAAAAAGACTTAAGATTAAGCATCTTTATTAGACATTATTAATTGTTTTATTATTAATATTAGTTTTTATTCTGTTTGTTTATAATATTTAAAAACTCAGTTTACTTTTATTCTAATATAATTAAAAAAATTTTAATAATGATTTATAAGTTGTAATAATGCATATTTGTGGTTTATTTAAAGTAGATCATATAAGTTTCCTGATTTTATATAAGATTTGTATTAATTTATTTGTTTAATTTATATTGCAATACAATTCACTTTTGTTTTAGTAAATCCTTACAAAACAATTAAAATAATCTATTTATTTGTTAAATATAAATTTTAATGTAGTTATATTTTTCTTAGTAAGTCCTTATCTATTATTTTTATAAGTTCTCTAATTGTTGTTTACAATATGTAAAGGCAGATTAATATTATGACACACTGAAGAATGCTATTAATAAAAATTTTCAATATATATATTCTTGAAAGAATTAATATAACTTGCACCAGTGGTTATAATTAACCAGTATAAATAAATGGTTAATTATAACCACTTACTTTTTTAAACTACAAAATTTACATATATATAATCACGTGGTGTCGATCATGATTGATA